AAAAGCTCTGGTGAAACCCACCGTACCCGGCCCATTAGCGAAAAACAGCAGAAAAGTTAGCAACCAGGTTGTGAGCAGAGTGAAACACCTAGAAGCTAAAAGGTGAAATATTTTTTCACAAGAGGTGGTGGAGACCAAAACAGAACTAAAAACTGAGTGAATTTTGGACTTGGCAACTGTTTGCTAACATGTTAGCTGTAACTCCCTCAGGAGACAGTCATTTGTCTGATTTTGTTTGGAAAAGTGGGGGGAAAAAATCAACAATGCAGCTTTTATAACACTTATATGGATAATATAGATGAATAACTTAGCAAATAGTTTACTTAATGTTGGATTTTTCATTTTGAAATAAAAATTTATTATTACAATTATACTGTATACACTCAGATAAATGCTGCCTGTAAGTTGGCTGAAATGCAGTGTTTACATATTTACAAGAATTTAATATGCACCCTTATTTAGATTACTGGGACCGCCTAGTTAATTTTGGAGTTCAGAGCGATGAGTGGAAATTACCCGCAGTGACCTTAAAACAAATAATTAGATTTGTTTACATAACTGTTTTAATACGAGCATTACTGTATTATGGTGTTGCTCTTTTAACAGTTATATGTTCTTAAATTAGTTTTTTTTTTTTTTTTTTAAATCATACACATCAATTAAACCAAATACACTTGAAGGACAGAATTTGTTTTAACATGTTATATTTTAATTTCTGCAGAGACAAAAATGACAAGCAATTTATTTACACAAACCTGTACAAAAGCAAATTAAATTATGTAAAATATCTCATAAATAGAAGTGGACTTGCGTTCAATACACTTTGCCATGTTCAGCTAAGCTGCGTGCATAGTGACTCATATTAAACGATGATAAATTGGTTCCTCAATTTCTATATCAACATCCAAGTCGCAGGACAAATAGTAATGGTTAATATTACAAATCTCATTACACACTGTGAATGCTATACGAATAGAGGTGAGCACAGACTGAACACACACCTCGGGCAGCAACAAGGTACAGACATTTTGATGGCAGGTGTTGTGTACTTCATATTGTGTCAAATGCTAAGAAAAAAAAAAAAGAAGACATAATACCATCTGCAATCGTCCAGATTTCTGTAGCATTTATCTCAGTGAATATCAGAAAGAAAAAAAAAAAAGTACAGAGCCTATCAGTGCTCAGAAATGAACTAGTGTGCGCTGTATTCCGTGTAAGGGCCAATATGTGGCATATTTTCTTTCATTACCTCTTTTTGTCTGAGGTTCACGCTACAGAGTCTTTGTTTTCGCTTCGACTGATCTCGAAATTCAAAAGCATCACCTCGCAGAATCACAGCAAACATCGTACCCCGCTTATTTGTAGGACAGAGTTTCATCATCCACTGATATGCATATACTGTAAAAAAAAAAAAAAAAAAAAAAATGCATGTGTGAGTGTTGTTGTTGTTGTTGTTGTTGTGTTGCTTGGCACCTCCTGAGGTGTGTGTTCTGTCAGCAACTCTCCCTTGCAGCTTTTTTTCTCCCCCCACCCCACCCCACCCCCCCATTTCCACTCCTAGTAAACCGTCACATTAGCATTTTTATCTCTAGGCTCCCTCAACTCTGAGCAGTCAAATGTCTCCAAGCATTTTTTTTTCAACTTTTTTCTCCCCCTTTCTTTCTTTCTTTCTTTCTATGCTTCTATATTCAGTCCTAGAGCTTGTTTCATGCACAAAGGTTACTTGACCTCTGATGTCATACATGTACATGAGTGGAACACGACAAAAAAATCCATTATATCATTATTATTACTACCAACAAGCAACTTTTGAATGTACCTGTACTCATTCGGTAATGCACTATGCTAGGAATGGATATTTCAACAAGATATTTGAACCCAGTGAACAACAGCCATTTGAATATTAGACCTATAGGCTCACTGACATTTGACTGGTCGTCCTCCGAGAAGCTTTTGACATCATGGGATTTCATCTAAGATATGCAAATGTATTTCAGTCCGTTCTTAAATGCCACCCCATCTACTTTTGTAAGCATGTCATTGTTTATGCACCATTCCAAACCAACATTAAACCATACCAATTGGTATAAAAAGGCACAATTGCATATTTGCATTCACTCTAGTATTTTTTTTTTTAAGTTTTTTTTTTTTCTTTTTTCAGAAGCACTCTAAATATACAAAGTGGCACCAGATAAAGGAAAAAAGTAAAACACGTAGTACATTGTCATGATCATTTCCACGGTTTTGACTGTTATTGTGTAACAAATCAATGTATGGGATTAAAAAGAGAAAAAAAAAATACAGAATGAAGATAAAAAATTAGCAAAAATGTCATGGTATAAAGTTGATATAAATGAAACGTATGAAAGATTTGGGTCTGTGTGGTGATATGAAAGACGACGATGAAATCAAGTATAAAAAATAAAAAAAGCAATGGTATGCAGAGTCTTAACTGATGTACTAAGTTGGCTAATACATGGCTAATGTTTCTTTAGGTATAACGAAAGCAAGCAACAAGGTGGATTTCCATGTTTACAGGGATAACATTTTTTTTGTACATTTTGTTTTACAGTTTTTTTTTCTTCTTCCTTCTCAGTAAGTGAAGTAAGTTCCCATTAAACGTGCAGTAAAAAGTAAATATTTATGTATACAGTTGATAAGTATAGGAGCACTTTCTTTCGAACAACGAGTAGTACTTACAGACTATAGATTGCCGGATTACTGAAAAAGCAGCTCCGGTTAAACCAAAGGGGTTTTGCTAACATACAAAAAAGTTCCATTGCATCTGATATTCTTTTGCTTTATTACAGTCATGAGATTTTACGCCTCAGTAGCTGCGAAACAGAAAAAAAAAAGAAAATGGAAAAAGAAAATCACTGTAGACAAGGAGGCACAACATCTCAACATAGTTATGTACGTGTGTAAGTGGTCATTAAGCGCCAGCTCTGAGGATGTAATGGATGTTGTGTTGAGACATCACATTCTTATCGTTCAAGCTCAATCCTTCATTTACAAAAAAATTAAAAATAAAAATTCTCCGTGTGATGTGTACTTAAAGCAAAGTTCTCCCAGAAAGCTATTTTTGTGTGTAAATAAGGGGGAATGCTTCATCCTGCTTGCGAAGCTTTGGTTTCACTTTGACACCATATTTTTTCTCAGCCTGTAAATCCCACAAAAAAAAAAAAAAAAAAAAAAAACTTCCTGGTATCTGCTCGTTCCGACGTTGCCTTTTTTTTTTTTGATTGTTCTCCATTGAGCTGATTCTTACATTCGTGCTCAAAGATGCCATCACCATGTACTATGGAAAAAGCAACATCTACTAGTGCTAAGAGGACTCTAGGACAGCCGTGTGTGGGTTAATGTCACCTTGAAGGCCTTGAGAAGAAGTGAAAAAGAAGTTGATGCTGGTTGGTCACATGTACATTATGATATTTATTGCTCAGTCTATCACACACACACACACACACACACACACACAAAAAGTAAAGGAATAACAGTAAAAAGCTGTCCTTGCAGCTGTTTTCGGACCAGCTTGGCCATGTTTACACCCTCCTAAGCCTATTATTGGTGTACATCTACAGTATACACTAAATATGGCCTATACACACATACTATATACTGCATATCTGGCCCATACACACATACAATTTCAATTGCACCTCCATAATTTTTATCTCGGCATGCCATACACTGTGCTTAACCAAGATTTTCAGTCAGTACAGCAGTGCCACTGGCCTCAGTTAAATGAATCTGCTTTTCTGCAGCTGTCTATGTGTGTGTTTGAGGACAAAACAGGGCAAGTGTTGATAGAAACAGTAGCATCCCACTGAGGTTGATCCAAAATACGCAAAGACCAATGTACACACATGCTTTCCCAGCCATTGCGGTGATAGGTCATGGCTCTTAAGAGCTTGCATCCCTTTAAAGAGGGTTTTGGTCTCAATGTCGCCAATCAAAGACAGAGAACGAGAGACTGAGGAAAGGTAGCGAGACAAAAAGGGAATGAGAGCGGTTAGTGTCGTTTGCCGTGGTCCAATGTTTATGTACAATGAGTGAACTTTTGTCAACCTGTGAAGAGCGTTACACACTGGTAAGTTAGAATCAGTCATCATTTGTTCATCATAGTGTTACCAGCCGGATGTAGTCCGAACCATGGGTTTTTGTTGCAGCAAATTCCATTGGCTCCCATTTTCCAATCCGTTTTCAAGAGAAATAAATGTCGTTTTCCGGGCTGAGTATTTAAAGCTTAGTCTTTTCCGTCCTTATAGGAATTGAATACGGTCAAGTTTTGTTCTGCTATTGAGCAACTTTGATCACAAACAAGATGGCAGAGTCCGTTGACAGCTCAGCACGATAAGAGACCATTACGCCCCGTATATTGTTGCAGCCACAGAATGTCACGGCCAGAGTGTTGCCCTGGTCTGAAATTTAAAAAAAAAAAAAAGAAAAAAAAAGAGAGAAAGGCAAAACCAGTCAAAATAGTCCACATGTACAGCTTTGTTTCTAGAAAAAACATAAACAGAAAAAAGAAATTGTCTTTTTTGTATAGTCATCTTCAGGGAACGAGGCCTTCATGGGGGACAGGGGGTAATGCATGCATGTACGGTATATGTAAAATGAGTTGATTATTGTACAGATTGACTGTCAGGCAGCAGATTGTGTCCCAAGAGCCCGACTCGCCAGTAAAACAGCCTCATCCCGAGTTCAATCAGTGCCCACAACAGTTCCTCCTCCTCCTCCTCCTCCTCCTCCTCCTCCTTTCTGCCAGGTCATGGCCGGAATTAGCACTTTAAAAATGGAATTATGTTTATCTATCCACTTGGAGTTTTCATTAAGGAGCTGTCGTAAAAGTCTTTGGAGAAAGTTTAGTCCTACCTTGTGCAGAACAAGAGTGGCTAAAAGCTTCTAGAGCTGTAAGAGTGGTGGGTAAGCAGCTACGCTTAGTGTTGTATTTTAATGCCATGTGTTGTGGCACAGCAGGTGTGTCTAACCCTCCCAGCTCACAGGTAAACCTCCCGTCGCGTCAGAGTGCCACAGGATGTGGGCTTGTACTCCCCAGTAGGTGCCAGAGGGATCTCCTCGGTGGGGTGGCCCAGCGCCTCCTCCCCGCCTCCTGGTGAGCCGTAGGAAGGCGAGCCAAAGGCCTCATAGGAGGAGGAGGAGGAGGCCATCTTCTTGTTGAGCAGGTTGCGATTGCGGTCGCCCATCATGTGAGCGGCGGTGGGGTCTCCGTTGGCCATGGCGGCCATGGCGAGGGTCTCTTGGCTGCCGGGCTGCTCGGCGCTGCTGCTGCCGCTGCCGCTGCCGCTCATGAAAGTGGAAAGCTTTGGTTGTTGGGGGTTGGTGGTTGACTTGGATGGCCGTCGCTCGGGCGACGTGCGCACAGGCATCCAGCAGGAGTCCGAGTGGCCGTACTCGTCGCATTCCCGAGTGCACTTGCCAGTCATGGCTACGTCAGGCAAGGGCCGGGAGTCTAGAGGAGGCAGAGAAGAGAAAAAAAATAAGTGATACTGTTTGTATCACTAAAATGGGATATTTAATGATAAACTAACATTTTTGACTAAAAAACTCCTAACGCTAAAAGTGTTTGTTGTGGTATGTGTTACATGATTTGACTGTTATGAATTCCTTCATTAGATGCGTGAGTCTGAGTTTTCTCCCTAATGGGGTCATCACCGCATCTGAATGTTAATGGAAGAGATAAAAAAACAACAAAAAAAAAAACAACAAAACAATAAAAACTGGTCACAATGGTTACCAGGCACCTATTGTCACAGCTAATGTAAGAGTCAGAATTTTATCACCAGCGAATAGTTAATTAAGCGTTCTACGGATAAAATTTGTTTGTTTTTTTTCATGCAGAACCAATACCACATGACAGCAACTGGAACAGAAAAACAACGATGAAAAGAAGACTCCACTGGCTACGACAACAGCCTCCAAACTCAAAAAACAGTGGCGTGAATCAGAGTTGAAATAATGTCATGCTTCAAAAAACGTGTTTGTGCTGAGAGGGGTGGGGGGGGGGGGCAGCGATGGAGAGAGTCGGGACAAGGTCAGCCTCTTTGATCTAAAATTTGAGTTGCACCTTTAGGGCATTGCTCTGTTGTGTCCGTGTGTGTCTGTAATGTGTGTGGGCGAGTATGTTTGTGAGATGGGAGCGCCAACAACACCCTATTTTTCTTATCTGGTGATTGACAGACGGCAATCACGTTCTAATCTAAGTAGCTTAATAGCTTTGCGTGGCTCTAGCGCCCTGATATCCTCTTAAATCCACTAATAGGGGTCTTAACCAATTACCTCGCTGGGCGCTGGCCTTAGATTAACTACGTCTACTGTATTATTGTGGAAAGCAAATTATGTGCTTACAATGCTACGCCAGGACAACAGGTTTGACAGATACCCCCACTGCCAGTGACTACTGTCAAGACAGTGCAATATGTGAAAGATAATTATCCCAAATACAGCAAAAACCAAAGCTGAGGAATTGGCTCCGGATAAATACAAAAAAAAAAAAACAGTGAGGAGGGAGAAGAGGAGTCTACTCCACAGCCTTGACCGAATGCTTAGACATTACACCGTGCCAAAGTTAATAAGAGTGCCAGTGTTATATAGATGCTATGTTAGATGTAATTTATTCATGACCTGATGCGAAGTATGGAAAACCAAAATCAAGCAGAAGCGAGGGTGAGTGCAAACCAAGCCAAGCATGCCTTTGCCCATAGTAAAAAAAGAAAAACAAAGAGTTTGGACCATGGCTTACTTTTAATGCTCTTTTTCTCCTGTAAAAGAAAAAAATAGAACAGAAATCACTCTTTTTATTTTTGCACTTATGCAATAAAATATATGTATATAGATATACTGTATGAGAGACCTTGAGGAGCATCGAGGATGTAACTAAAAGTCACGTTGACAACAGCACCAAAAAAGTGTTATGCAGAGCAGACACATGACTGAGGAGACAATGCAGCGGAGACAAGGACAGCAAAGGAAGAGGAGACAGGGAAAACAAAATGAGAGTCCTCTAAAGTCCTACTGATTATGTTTTTTAATCAGATCAGCAAACGAATCACTTGTTTCACTACAATTTTGCCTCTGAGCAAAGCATTCGGTATTACTTCGAGAGTGCCATTCCTGTGCTGCTAGACACCTTATTTCTGCTAAATACCTCGTAGAATCCATTTTTGTGTCACAAATTACCTTTGTAAAGCATCAACTAATGATTGCCATTCAATGTATAGCCAACGCCTCGGGGAGTAGCTGCCACTCGACAGAACAATCAAATAACTTTTTGTCATTAGTGAGCCCAAACAACTGAATAGTTCTGTTTAATGAATTGTAAATAGCTAAATAAATGAGGAGAAAGGCTAGAAAATAAAGGGGAATTGAGAGATGAAATGGCAATCACAAACAGTTAACATGCCAGCTGATGTGATGAAAATGCTGATGGATCACGGGCATGGCGAGTAAAAGAAACGTCTTTGTCTCCCTTTCCCTCCTTCTTTCCTCTGTCGCAGCTCCGCAAACACAGACATCAAAGAGACAAAAGCCGGATATCAGGTACTGATTGCCTTGCTCATTTACACCTACGATTGAGCCATCAGGCTACCCACAATGCACAGCGGCTCTCGCTCTTGTCTCTCGAGGCCTCGGCGCCCTGCTCCTGAATGCTCATCCAATTGCCTCTTCACCCATCCCTCCCTCACTCCCTCCCTCCCAGTCACATTCACACAAACTAGTAAAAAAAAAAAAAAGAAAAGAAAAGAAAAGAAAAAAATCAGCAGGGAGGACCTCTTGATTCTTCCAGCTCTCACGGGGGAAGCAGCCAGCCTTCAGCATCACATCTCGGCTGCCCTGCGCGGCGAGGTGCTGAGGTAGTTAGCCGGCGCTCTGTGTGTTGTGCGCGCTGGAAGGAGGCTGATTATTTCCAAGCCATGGTCCACTGACTCTGCAGGCTTGCTCAAAATGAAGACGTTTCCCACTGAGCTAATAAATTGGGTTGCAAAACCAAAGCAAAAAATGCTCTGTTTTTTTTTTTTCCCCCCCTCTTCCTCTCTTCAAAAGTGTCACCTCCCCCTGAGGTTGGGCCATCAATATGAGTACTTTAAAACCACTTAAATCCATCTGTCCACGCTTCAGCCTGGACTAGTATTTTAACCTACAGGCTCAGGAGTATCTGTGGGTCCTGGTAAATTAATTTTAATGTCCACTCAACATCAACAAATTATTTTAGTGCTTTATTAACTGCCTTATTTAATTCAAACTTTACTTAATTTAAAAGAATGTTACTCAGCAGAATTAAAGGTGAAACATTACAAAAAAAAAAAAGGGAAAAACTTTCAAGGATCTCTATGGAGGAGACATGCACCGCTGCTCCATACATATCCATAGGCCCTTTAAAGACCCAGTTCAGGAATCAGGACGTAGAAAATATCTTCAAGCCCTCAGAGCACACGCAGCACAGCAGCAGGCTTTTGTTATATATATTCACAAACATCCCGCGAGCCCTCACTACCAACCACAACACAACACAATACAAGTGGGTCACTCTGCTGTGTTGAAAAGCCTCCCTGCAACACTGAGAGCCCAACAAGGAGGCCTCTCCATCCCATCCCAGGTTATGCCCCCCTCCCGGGGGGTGGGGGCGGCTTTGGCTTTGTTGTGTAGGAGATCCAGAGCCAGGAAACAGTGGCACAGGCTGGGTGCCACGGGCAGGTGCCCCCCACCCCCCACCCCACCCCCCACCCCACCCCAGATCTCTGGTTCGCATTGAAAGAGAAGAGCTTTCAGCTGAGTCCGCTCATAATAGCCATTAGCTCTCTCTTACATTTACTCAAAAGAGGCTTCCGGAAGAAGAGCGAGGGTGGGGGGGGGTGGGGGGGGTGGGGTGACGGTGGATCAGAGAGTGATTGGCAGTTGAGGCGAAACGGTAGAGCGGCAGCTTTGGCTGAGATATGGACCAGAAAGTCACGCACTTGCTGCAGTGGTGATTACCCACCGAGATGCCACTGTGCGGCAGAGCTCCCAGATGTTTGTGCATTTGCTGATTTGACTTTAAGGAGTCTGTATAGTGAGGACTTTCTTCATTTGTGCAAGAAAGCAGGCTGAAAGTGGGACAGTGGTTGCGCTACTTGAGCTGTGGCTTTTCTTAGCTGGCTTTAGTCAGCCACCCTATCAGCTGACTAGCTTACACTGTGGGATATTTCAAAGAGCCTCCGCTGCCGGGGTACAGTAGCAATTCGATGCGGTGTCTTTAGCCCTCGCTAAGATGTTGCAGCGGTAGGAAAGAAATGGAGGGTTAGACTGTCAAAGCTTCCGGGCATATGCGCGCTAATGTCTGTTGTGGGGGCATTTCTGGGCAATTATGGTTTCATATGTTTTGTTTGTGTTGTGGTACACAGTGTTTTCACTGCAGCATGTCAGGAAGTGCACTTGCCAGTCTGCATTCATCTACGTCACCATCTCTTTCACTTTTGAGCTGTACCCCCTTCCAAGCCCCCCCCCAACCAACCACTCGCCCCCCTGCACCACCGCTCTTCCCCTGCCTCCTCTCCTTCCTCTCTCTATATTTCGCTACGAACCACTGCTACACAGACTGAAGCTCCGTGACCTTTTGCCCTCTCTTTTCCGGCCGGCAGATTCAATCCAAACAGCTGAGGCGTTAGGAGGGAGGGAGGGATGGGACGGAGGGAGGGGCAGGAGAGAGAGAGAGAGAGAGACATGGAGGAAAATACAAAAAGTCTGAGAGGGAAGAGGAAACAAAACAGGTGAATCCTGCATGGATTTCTATGTGTGTGTCTACACTGTCTTTGACAGACATTGCAGTTGGCTGGACGGCAGGTAGGGGTCGGAGCAGAGAGGGAGGGATGGGTAGAAAATATAGGAGAGAGAGAAAGAGAGTGAGAGGAGGGAGAGTGTGTGTGCTGAGTATAGCAGGGTCAGGGCCGGGGAGAAGGGAAACAGCAGATTGAGTGGAGAAGACAGCATGGCTGCCTCTGGGCCGTCACAGGCCAAACACACTGCCAAAGAGAGCAGTGGAGAGGAGAGCAAGGAAGACAGGAGGAGAGGAGAAAGAATCGAGGACATTCACAAAGACAGGAAGAGGAGAGAGGACAGGAAGACAGGACAGAGGAAGAGCACAGGAGGAGAAAGAGTGATGATATGAGGAACCTTGATAACAGCACATGTACTGTACTGTAAATAACTCCTGGTAGCATGTGCTTCTCAGGTCAGTCGGTGTTCTCTCACACCGGCACACATTAACCTATCAGACCCAAAACCTCGATTTAGCCTGTTTTTAAGGTTTCAAATTATCTCTCCAACAATAAAGTCCTGTGTCCAGGGAAAGGGCAGGCGCCACTCACCTCTCCTTTAACTCAATCTAATTTACTTCCATCACATTCCCCACATTAAGAAAGCTCAAAACAACACTTTAACCTCCAAATGTCATTTACACCCATCCACATGATTCCA